CTTAGGCTTAATTTTTGACACAAAGCAAGAGTTTTAAATCCATTCTCTTGATCTGGTAGTAACTCCTTTATTTAGATCTCCTATGATAAGATCCTTAGGATGATCTTTTTGAGTTCTAATTGAAGGCCCTTTATTGAGATGACTGGGCTTAGGGTCTTCTTAAGGGAGATTAGAATCAATACTTCTGTCGTTGGATTCTGTTGGAATATCAGATAAAGATGTTCCAACATCTTCTAAGACATCTTCTTCATCATTCCATCCTTTATCATCAATAATAACATTTTTGGATTCCATCATAACCTTGGTTCTAGAGTTAAAGACTCTGTAAGCTCTGCTATTTCTAGAGTAGCCTAGGAATATTCCTTTATCACTCTTGGGATCCATCTTTCTCCTTTGTTCATGATCATCTAAAATTTAACATTTACTTCCAAAAACATGAATGTATTTGACAATAGGTTTTCTTCCCCTCCATATTTCATATAAGGTGGTTGAAGTTCCTTTCCTTAGAGTGACTCTGTTATGAATATAGCATGCAGTATTCATAGCTTCAGCCCAAAAGTGGTAGGGTAACTTCTTAGCATGAATCATAGCTCTAGCAGATTCTTGAAGGGTTCTGTTTTTACGTTCCATAATCCAATTTTGTTGAGGAGTAATGGTAGAATATAATTGATGAATGATTCCTTCAGAAGATCAAAAGGCAGCAAATTTATTGTTCTCAAATTCCTTTCCATGATCACTTATGATTCTGATTACATGACTATCTTTTTCCCTTTGAAGTTTTTGACAGAGATCTTTAAATACTTCAAAAGTTTCTGATTTTTCTCTAATAAAACGTATCCATGTGTACCTAGAGAAATCATCTACAACAACATATGCATACTTATTTCCACCAAGACTTTCAACCTGCACAGGTCCTATCAAGTCCATGTGAAGAAGTTCCAAAACTTTTGATGTAGTAAGATATTGGATCTTCTGATGTGACATCTTAGTTTGCTTTCCAATCTGGAAGTCACCACATACTCTTCCTTCTTCTATCTTGATCTTAGGAATCCCTCTCATGTATTCTTCAAATATAATTCTTTTCATTCCTTTTAGATGCAAGTGTCCCAATTTTTGATGCCATAGTTTAACTTCATTTTCTTTGGCTAAAACATGTGTTGAGGAGAAGTTCAATTCTCGAGGAATCCATAAATAACAGTTGTCTTTATATCTGATTCTTTTCATAATAACTTCATTCTTTCCATTGCAAACAATACATTCTTCCTTGGTGAAGTTAACTTTGAATCCTTGATCACACAATTGGCTTATACTTATTAGGTTAGTTGTTAACTCTTTAACAAGTAACACATCATCAAGCTTAGGGACTCCTGAATATTCCATCTTGCTAACTCCTTTGATTTCACCTTTGGCTCCATCACCAAAATTCACATAACTGGTGGAATGAGATTTGATATCTACCAACATATTCTTGACACCTGTCATGTGTCTAGAACAAACACTGTCAAAGTACCAGTCATCTTTGGTTTATACTCTGAGAGAGGTGTGAGCTATGAAACTAGCAACATTAGACTTGGGAACCCACTATTTCTTCTTTTTGTTATTTTTGTGGACTGATCAGTTTTGGGAAGATGAGTGGTTTTAGGATACCCATACAACTTGAAACATAAAGGTCTTATATGACCAAGCCTTCCACAATGATGACATCTCCAGGGCTGAGATTTCTCTTTGATGTGATTAACATTTTTCTTGCCATGATGTTTTCCATGATGTCTAGACATTTGATTAGACATCTTAGGTTTGGACTTGGCATGAGTGGAATCTAATGAAGGTTCTTATGAATTTGGTTCCTTTTTCTCATTAAACCCTAGGCCACTCTTGTCTCCTGTCACTCTTCCTGCTTGAAGAATTTCATCTAATGTGTCAGATCTATTATTCAGTATCTTGAGAGATTTGACCATTCTATCAAGATTTGAATTCAGAGAAGTCACTTCACTTTCTAGATTAGAAATAGTTTTCAGATGCTCTTCCCTTTCTGCCTTCAGCTCAGTTATGAGGACTTTATGTTTCTCCCCTTCTTGGCACACTTCTGCACTTATAAGGCATAATTCTTTGTATGAAGCAACTAACTCATTAAAGGTTAGTTCCCCATCACTAGACTCTTCATTAGAGACATATTTACCTGTCAATGCTTTAACATGTTTGGCAGATTCTTAAAGATCACTCTCTGAGTCCTCTTCAGAATAAGTAACAGATAGATTCTTCTTCTGTTTCTTAAGATATGTAGGACGTTCAGATCTAATATGACCAAAGCCTTCACATTCATGACATTTTATTCCCTTCTCTTGAGTGGATTTTTCTTCAGCACTTTTTCTTCCAAACTCATTTGACTTATGGATGTCAGATGAGATGTCCTTGACATTTAATCTTGGGTTCCTATCCATTCTTTTTATGACTTTGTTAAACTGTCTTCAAAGCATAACTAAAGGCATTTGCTATTCCTCCATCCAGATCACAGTCCTCCTCTTCATCTTCAGCATTTGATACAAAGGCTATGCTTTTGTTCTTCTTTTCAGATCTTTCATTAATTCTTAATTCAAATGTCAAAAGGGATCCAACAAGTTCATCCACTTTCATTTTGTCAATGTCTTGAGCTTCTTCTATAGCAGTCACTTTCATATCAAATCTCTTGGGAAGATACGTGAGCATCTTTCTCACCAATTTTTCTTCAGGTATTTTCTCTCCTAAAGCATTGGATGCATTAGCAATCTCAAGAATGTTCATATAAAAGTCATTAATACTTTCATCATCCTTCATTCTCAAATTCAAAAATTTTGTGGTGAGCAACTGAAGTTCTCACATCTTAACTTTGGATGTGCCTTCATGAGTAGATTGAAGAATTCCCTATGCATCTTTAGCTACTTCACACGTGTTCACTAATCTAAAAATGTTCTTGTCAATTCCATTGAATATAGCATTCAAGGATTTAGAATTTCCAAGAGCAATTTCATCTTCTTCTTTAGACCAATCTTCTTCTGGTTTTAACTCAGAAGTAGGTTCTCCATTTTCTCCCAATTTGACAGGGTGTTTCTATCCTTTTAAGATAACTTTCCAATCTTTGTTGTCCATAGACTTTAAAAAGGCCATCATACGTGGTTTCCAATAGTCATAATTACTTCCATCTAGAATGGGTGGTCTGTTAACAAATCCTCCTTCCTTATCCATAGTACCATAAAGTACCTTCCCTGGATCTCACCCAGATATAGAGCAGGATGCCTGCTCTGATACCAATTGAAAATTCTGGTATCAGATATGTGATGTCGAAGGATATGTCACGACACAAATATCTGAGGACAATGTAAAGTGAAACAATAATAAAAGCAGTAAAAACACAAAGGATTGTTAACCCAGTTCAGTGTACAACAACATCTACTTTGGGGGCTACCAAACCAGGGACAAGTCCCCTAAATAGTATCAATTCATAGGCCCTTAGTAAACAACCAATTTACGATCTAATCACTTAATCACTACCCGTGCTATACTTCTACCTAAGACACAACTAGGTATGAGGCCCTCTTCAAGTCCCTTAAATCACTAACAGTGAAGAACTACAAAATTATTAAGTTTTAAAGCCTTCAATCATTCAATACTTAAAAGCTTATGAATGATGCACAATTAACAACTCAAATTACAAATCAAGTATTAAACCAATACTTAGAGTGTATTACAATTAAAAAGGCTTAGACTTCTAAAATAGAAATAATATGTTCTTCTTCAAAAGTTGCATTCCAATGAATAAGGATGCAAGTCCTTATAAAGGCGCAACAGTGGACTTGGGCTGAAAAACAAATATTCTAATCTTTTGAATATTTCATGAAAACAGGCCAAGATATAATTCATAAAGATAAAGCATATCGAAAAGTATTCCTCCATATTTTCACAAGCTATGAGTCCCAAATACTGAATGATGGTGCACATAAAAACAGGAAACAGAAAACTTAAACCAGATATGAAGTTTCGTTCAGCTCAGGAGGCAGATGTCAAGACATCTGCTTTGACATAAATCAAAACAATTTGCTTCAAATGTCAAGACATTTAGCAAAGCATTATCAAGTCATTGTTTTACCAAAATTGTTGCCAACAAACACTTACAAGTATAAAAAAATATTTATGTATCCTATCGTTGTTCAATGATAGCTTTCCACCTTTTTCTCTAAATAATATTTTTCTATTAAGCTTTTAAACAGAGTTTCGTTAAGTAAATAAAGATAACTGTAAATCCAGCTATTTGTTACCAACGGTCACAATGAGAGTGGTTGTCAATACACTATAAAGGATTTATTTAAACCACCCTAAAGGGTATAGGTCACAAACATTTTATGTACCTTTTTCACAACATCACACATTAACCATTTAAACTTTCTTCTTATCTCTAGAGGCTTTAGATATTTGAATGTTGAACTTTGAAGCTTGTTATAGAAGAATCTTTCTTATGAGCATTAGAATCCAAGTCTTGGAGTCTTCAGAACTTGTCACATAGAACCTCGTTCTTCAGAGTCTTCAACACTTGGTTGTAAGAAATTCATTTTCTTCAAATCATCAGAACTTGTTCAGCAGAACCTTGTTCTTCATAATCTTCAGAAATTGTAACATAGAGGTAAAGATTTAGAAGGCTTCCAAAGCTAAACCACAAATCCATGATTAGAACTTCTTGTACTAACGTTCTTAAGACACACTACAGAAGATCAGTTCAGAACCTTGACTTAACCGAAACATGTAACCACATCTTTTCTTCCCGAGTGTATGTTCAGAACCTGATGAAGTCACATGCCTTGTACCAGAGTCAGAATATTATAGCAGAAGTACACACTAGACGAAACCATTAGTGTATACAATTGTTCTCTAAGATAACATGTGAAGTTATCATCAAAATCTCAAGGCCAAATGTAGGAAACACTTCTTGTTTTTATAAGAGTAACCTAGAGAAATGATCCAGGGATACCTCAGAGAAAAGTAAGACCAAAGAAGAGGGGTAGGGAAGGAAGTAAAGGACTTCTTGAATTTCTCCGAGAGACAGATTTTGGAATTGCGCAACTTAAAGGCCGAACCGACGTCCCTTTGATCCAAACGACGTGGAGACGCCTCTGAACACCAGGAGAAGCGAAAATTTTCAAGGTGTTGCACATTCGAACATCATACCGGAAGCACCCCATCCGAAGAGAGTCAATGTTGTGTGGGAAGGGATGCTGGGGCTTGGTGTAGTAACCCCAGGCTCTGGGGATACCATACTGATGATTTCCTCAAGCTAAAGAAAGAAATTGAGGCATTGATATAGATGAGACACCTGTTAACTTATGTAAAAGATGGCAAAACCCGAGTTGTGAAAAGAGATACCCAACGAGAAGATAGAGACTCGGAAGGACCCTTCCAAAAGAAGGGGAACGGTATAAAGGAGGTGCATAAAACCAAATCGGCTCGTCATACCCTTAACATCATCGCTGGTGGATTTGCTGGCCGCGGAAAAACCATATCGGCTAGGAAGAAATAAACCTGGGTCATGATGCATGTGTCTGGAGATATAGCTAAGGTCTGAGAGCAGAATCTAAATCCTATTAGCCTCTCTAAAAGGGAAGCCTTCGAAATTATGGCCCACGAGAATGATTGTATGGTCATTAAAGTACAAATCAAAGATTGGAGCATGAAAAGGGTGTTGGTGGAACCTGATAGTTCAGGTGATGTACTCTATTGGGAGGCCTTCAAGGAAAAGGAGTTCGACACAGTCGAGCTATTACCCTTTAACGACACTTTATTCAGATTCTCAGGAGAACATGTGCAAGTGTTGGGACATCTCTCGATACTGGCTACCTTTGGAAGCGGCACGAATGCTAAAAGGTCAGAGTAAGATACTTAATTGTCAATGCTACTTCACCCTATAACATCATCGTAGGTAGGCCTTCCCTTAATGACTTAGAGGCTGCTCTCTCCATGATGTACCTCACAATGAAGTACCCCTTGGGGATGGCCGGGTTGGGGTGGTTAAAGACGATCAAGGGTTGGAAAGGAAATTTTATAAAGACAACCTGAACTTAAAGAAGAAGGTATAGTCCGAAGTGCTTGGGTACTCCAATGAGATGAAAGTCAATATGGTCGATATAGGTCCAGAGGATGATTCACCAGAAGACAACCTTTCTCCTCATGATGAAACAAATAAAGTTTAGATCATCACCACTTCATCTGAAATAACTTATATATGGGGTAGTCTGTCCCATGAGGGGGAGGTAGAAATTGTGAAGTTGTTGAAGGAAAATGTCGATTTGTTCGCATGTGTCATACCCCAAATTTGCCTGCCCTTAATTCTACCGTCTAGTTTATTTTCAAACTTGGATTTTTATAAAATTCTTTTGATTCACGTTAATATTTTGGGGTTTCATAAATATTCTTTCTCAAGTCCACTTAAAAATATAATAATTCATTTCAAATTATTTGTATTTTTAAAATAGCAAATATTTGCACACCTTTTATATACTTTCAATTAGGTTTATTTATAAATGAGTAACATAGCACAATTAGTAAAGAATGAAGCTTGCAATCTCTTGTGGTAACATTTAACATTTTATATTTCTTTTTTCACTAACTTTCTTTCCTTTTTTGGAAATCAGGCTTTGGGCTTCTCTTGGTTTTTGGGCTAACTTACTTGTTAAGTAATTTTCACCTAATTCAAGTCTATAAATAGGACCTTAGTTTGTCCTAGTTTGACACATAATTCATTAAGAATTTCACACACAATTCATCAAAAAATTCACACACAATTGATCTACAATTTCTCACAAATCCACAAATCCAAAATTCATCAACAAATCAACAATCTTAAAAATTTTCACTCACCTACTCATTTTCATCACTGCTTTTTACAATTTAATTTTTTCAAAACCTTTTTAAATTCTTAGTTTTAGCCAATGATTGACCTATGAGACCACCTTTTTTATTTTCAATGTCATCCTTTAAATTTATTGTTTTTACCTTATAATGTGGAGCTGATGGTTTTTATTTGTATACTAACTATTACACACCAATTTTTCTACATGGTTTTTTTACAGTCACATTAATCTTCAACTTTTGTTTATATATTCAAACAATAAATTGTCAATTAACCTGTAATAATTTTAACCTGCATTGTTTGCACGCTAACCTTTTATCAAAAAAATTTCAATAACTATTCACATAATAACAATTTTTTTTACAATAAACTTAATCTGTAACAATATTTCACTATTCAAACTTTCATCACAAATTTCAAAACTAATTTTTCTAAGTTTCCTGCATTAAACCCACTGTCACAAACTCAGTCGATCATTGCTCATTACTGAAATAACTATCATTCCAAATTCAATCTAAAACTTTCAAACTAAATCACTTTCTCCAAATATTCAAGATTTGTTGCATAAGTCATAACACTACTATGCACCAACACATATCCTGTCATAATATAAACCAGATTAAAAATTGCATGAAAAAAGAACAACAAAATCCGAAGAAAATTCATATCTAATAAACATCAATACAACCTGATGTTTGGTTCAGGAAAAACAAAGAAGAAGAACCAGGTTTAGAAAAAAACTGAAGAAGAGGAAGAATCAGAAACAAGTCGTAGCTCACTCGCTTCGTCGATTCGCCGCCACCCACACGCTTCAAAACCGCTTCAGCCTCCGCTGAAACCTCACCGCAGTCAGAACTAGGCTGCCACATGGATCACTCGACCACCAAATCGCAGTCAACTTTAACACCAAAAAACCCTCCGCCTCCTCCAACAAACCAGCTCCCCCACAGACCGCCTTCCCGCAATGATCTTCATCCTCAGGCCAGGTGGGTTTTTTCCACCCGGCCATGTATTTCGTTCTTGTTGTTTTATTGCCTTGTCTGGTTTAAATTGAGAAATAGAGGAGTGATGTTTGGGTATGTTTTGGGATCTATTCTCTTGCGTTTGTATAGAAGAAGAAGAGGATTTTGTTTGTTGTCTTTGTAAAAGAAAGAAGAGGATGAGTGATAACGATGAAGTGAGAAGGGGAAGAAGTTGTGTTGTTTTCTACACTAACATATTCCATTTAGATCTGACCACTTTGTTTTGTTTTAATTATTATTAAAGATGTGACATGTGTCAAAACATCATTGGCCGGTATAACAAAGGATAAAAGTAAAAAATGCTATCTATTATGATGATAAATGCTGCTCAGGTTTTACGATTTAAGCATTTTTCTTTTGTATTTCTTTTATGATTATGGTGATTATGTTTGTTCGGTTAGTGATATGGACTTTTAGCATTTGGCTTAATCAATTTCACACCCTGTTTTACTTGTGCACCCCTAAGCCTATTTATTTATTTAGTTTAGTTTTAAATTAGTTACTTTATTTTATTAGTAAATTAAGGTAATAATTGATTTAGGTTAATTAGCTTTTACATAATAAACATACAAAAAATATATGCTTTGAATTTTTTTAAGAATAAACCAATCACTTTTTTTTAATATAATTAATTCAAACATCTTATAAATAATAGGATGTCTATCTTCGAGTAATTAAATTGGTTGACACATCGTCTATCAATTTATTATTCAAAATCAAACAATTAAAATCCATACAAAATCACTAAATTCACCATCTGTGAATGACATGTGGTCAATATCTGGCAACGTATTGAGGAGACTATATCAGACTCCCCTGCTTTACCTTTTAATATAGCTAACCAACGTCAAAACGTTTTTATACTAACATAAAAAAACCCAAGATATTTTCGTAAAAAGGATTAAATAGAATTACTTTCAAAATTAACTACGAACTACGTCTATGCTCACACAATTTTCAACCCAGACTAGGTTCAAGGATAAGTTCAAAATCAATTCTACGCAATCCTATAAAAAACACCAACAAAATTGTAAACTACGAATTGGGAATCTGATTCCTCCTAAGAGAATACGTAGGCATACGACTAAAATCATGGCGAGCTCACCTAATACAACATTAAAATCCTATATCCTAAAAATTGCGCTTCTAACCCTAGTATCCTTGTGAACAAGGTAGATGAGGGGTTCCTAACACCTTACCTTCATCTAAGATAGAGTCCAAAAAACCTAGAATCTCTAACTTTTTAGGATTATCCTTTATATTCCCTTCCTTAGGATACAAATTAAGGGTGACGACTCTGAATTTAAAACCAGTTACAATAGCTGGCGACTCTGTTGGGGACTCAACCCTAGGTTTAGAAGCTTTGTCTTTTAGTTTTAGGATTTTTCTTATTTTTCGGGTTTTTTATATTTGTTTATTTAACTATTTATTTATTCATTTATTTATCTATTGTTATTTTTATCATATTGTTATATCTGTGGTGGGATTTAAATTTTGCAAAAAATATTTTAAAAAACCCTTAGAAAGAAGGTTTGTCTATTAGCCAAGGGGATACATCTTCCCTATGAGTTTATGTGATGACTTCGCGTAGATTCGGTGGAATTCTGGGAAATAAATATGTATCAAGAGACATCTTCTTAGGAAGTAGGACTTTGGAATGACACCTATGACTCTTTGTACAACCTTTAAACCAAAATCTCATGATGATACTTTTCATGACCTAGAGACAAAAAAATTTGTCTACAAAGAGGCTCCACTTAAGGGAGGCCCTTGTGCCTTTCCATCTAATGTTATTCATGATACCCTCAAGGAAACAACCTTATGGGGAGGTTAGAATATCCGTAGGCCAATACTAAGAACCTAACAACTAAGGATACCTCTCACAAATCCTACTACAATCCCTAAACCTAAAAGGGTTATCTTTTCTTCCACTATTATCTTTATCCTGTAGGGCTTCTGTCTATGTCATAATCCCTAGCTTGTACGGATTTCTCATCGTCTTTCATTAGGCCATAACCCTAAAGAAATTAATGTTTGTATCAATCTCTGAGACAATGTAGGATATCATTATATCCATGTCTAACATTAGCTACATCCTTAAGGAGTTCTTGCTTATCTCAATCTTTGATTCAGTGTAGGACATCAGTATTTCCATATCTACCATTAAACCTGTATAGGGTATCCCTACGTCTACCCTCATACTTGTCATACCCCAAATTTATCCTACCTTTTACTTTTGTCTGGATTAGACTTCGCATTTCATCTACATCATCTTCACTAGTTCCTTTGCATGTCATGCATTTCATTGAATAAAGACACCTGAGGTCCAAGAGTTCAGTGGTTATGCAATATTAGAGTTTCACAGTGTTTTGAGGTGTTTATATTCAGTAAAGTCTATTTCTTTCTGGTTCTTCTAGGTTTTCAAGAACTGAAGTGGTGAATTAGGATTTTGGAGGTTTTCTCAAGTTACTTCAAGAGTAGTGGTTTTAGTTCTTCAAGCTGAGGCTTAGTGTATTAGGTTTTTTGGTTTGAGCTTGTAGTGTTCATCATTTGAATGTTAAGGAAGCTAGGATTTTTGTTTCAAGGTCACGTTGACCTTTATCTCATTCTACAAGTCAATTTCTTATCAAGAGGTTTAAGGGGTGAAACCAAGGAATTCTTCTCATATCGGTTAAAGTTTTCTTTGAGGAGTTTTCTTGAGGGACTAAATTTTGAACTAAGATGGCATCTATCATTTTCAAAGTGGTTTGAATTTGTCATGAATATTCGAAATTGGAAGAGAAAGAAAACTTGGATTTGGATTACAAATTGGAAATAATGGAAATTGGTATTTCATACAATGTCTTTGGTTCACAAGTCACCAGTTCCTTACATTACAAGTTACTATATTCAAGATTCAAGTCACTATTGATTATCTTACAATTTTTTTGGGTTCATGCCATGACAATTTGAAACCATACAAAGGAATTTCTCATCACAAGTCCAAACTGTCCAAATATAACAGACCCAAAATCAGTCCAAATATAACATGCCAAAAAAACCTGTATAATAATACTGTTCAATTTGCTGTTGTATAAAGCCCAAAGTTTGCACCAACCATCCCTACAAAACTGTCCAAAACTGCTGTTGTCCATTATGCTGCATACCATTCCATAAACTTGCCCACTCCACTCCAAAACCTACACAAAAAAAGTCCAAGCATATCAGTCCAAAAACTGTTGTTCCTATACAAAAATAGTTCATGAATAACAGTCCAAAAACCTGCAGAGATAGCCTACTAAAACTATCAAAACTGCTGCAAACAAATGCCAAACATTACACAAAATAGAAATCACCAAATCTGTAATAAAAAAAGTAGTGAAAAAACACGTCAAAATTGTTTAAAACCTCACCAACCTCCCCCCCCCCCCCCCCCCAATTTCCACCTCTCATATGATATATACAATAGAAATATTGGGAGAAAAAGAAAAAACACAGTAAAACCAGAAGAGAAAAACCAGCAACAAAAACTATTTTGAGCCATAAAACTGCTTTGATATATAAAATAACAGCTATAAAAAAAAAACAGAAGAAACCAAAAGGAAAATAGAAACAGAAAAAACCTTCAACCCACTATACAACCTTTCAAGTTTCCCCCCTAAACAAATTATCCAAACACTTCACATACAAGCTGTTCAAAAAACAGTTTCTGTGATACCATTCTCACCACCTTCCAAACACACAAAAAAAACAGTATTGCACAACTTGACTGGGTTGGAGTGATTCAACAACTTTCAATACAAATAAAGGATTGGAGTAACTTCCTAGAGGTTCACTGAAGCCATTCTGATCATCACAACCTCTTGAAAGGTGTTCAAACTCAAAATACAAATTTCAGTTTCAAGGTAAGTTTTCTTGACCTTGAGGTCTTCATACAAGCATCATTAGTGGTTTATTTATGAAGATAAGATGTAGATATCATACCCTTGAACCTAACCATATGCTTGCTTTTCATTTTTATCAATCATATGTTGAGAAATGACTTTTACATGTAGCAAAACAATGTTAGAAATAAAAAAACAGCAGTATGAGTCGACACATATCTCTATGAGTTGATGCATATCAGGCACAAAACAGGTTATGAGTCGATACAAAACAAGCATGTGTCGATGCAAAACATATATTAGTCGATTTAAACCATTAGGTGTCGACTCATACTGAGTTGGTTTTGACTTCCAGGGGCAGGAAATGAGTACGAATCGATACAAAACGCGCATGTGTCGATACAAAACAGAAATGAGTCGATACAAACCCTTATGTGTTGACTCATACTGTGTTGTTTTTGACTTCCAGGAGCAAGGGATGATATGTATTGATACATAAGTGTATGCGTCAACACATAAGAGTTTTCGTAATAATGCATAAGTGCATGTGTCAATACATAAATTTTTTAAAAACAATTTTTCTTTATTTTATTTTATTTATCTTTAAATTCTTGTATATTATTTATTCGTTCAATATGGTTGTAATAGTAATTGGGTTTTAATCGCTTTCATACCCATTCATAAACTTGTACCCCCATCCCCATATGATTGTAATAGCTTAGGGTTTATTTTTTTGTATATTTTAGTTGTTGCTTAATTATGCATATGTCATCCAATTAGAGCACATGGCCTGCTCTTGGGTTCATCATCAATGATCAGGTATTCACTTACAAATTCACACTTGCACACATTTCATAGTTTGGTCCTGGGCTTTTCTACAGCGACAACTATTTGATCGATTGTTTCAATTGGTCGTTTAGAATACTAGTTCCATGCTAGTCCCACTTTCTAGGAGCATACATATGGCCACCTTGTATGGGCTTTTAATTTAATCTTATGCATTGAAGAAACTTCTCTCCCCTTAGTTTACATACAAAGAATCTTCTTAAAGGGTCACATAGTTGAGTTTGGGCATGGCCATTCTCACGAGGTTAATCAATTCTTTCCCTTGGTTAACAATAACC